GTTCACTGGAGGACTAGTTGCTGGGGTCAAGGCACCACTGTGGCCTGGAGTGGTAGTCAATGTTAAGGAACTGTTGGTGTCCTGAGATGAGGCGACGCCATTTTTCTGATGTGAAAGGGCAAGAAAACCTGTACAGAGTTGAAGGTGAGTAGGAAACTGTTTTTATGCTCACAGCTTAAAAAAAGAGTTGGAAGCTGGGTTGCTTTGGGTAATAAGTGTGATGATGATGATGAGGAGGATGATTATTATTATTTTGCTCTGGCTAAAGCCAGAGGTTTTAAAAACTATTGGTTTGGTGAGTAAAATCAGAGGAAGGAGAAAAAGATGAACTCTGAAACCAATGTAACCACAGAAGGAAAAGGAATGAGGTAGCCCCGGATTGCATTTGCCTTCCTCTTTGCTAACAGCCCCCCTCTCTACTCTCTCTGTCCCTAAAGGTCTCACCTCTGCTTCTTTTTGAGACAAGGACTCATACTATAGCCCAGACTGTCCTTGAACTCTGTGAGCTTCAGCATCCTGAGTGCAGGGGATTATAGATTTGAACCACTGCTAGTGGCCTGGACCTTCCACTCCTGACACAGCCCGTTCACTCAGCTCCCCACAAACATTGGAGTATTTGCCTCCTATGGGGGCCAGATTTTCTGAGCCTCCGGGAGCCTTAGCCCTCTTTTTCCTCTGACACACACTGGGCCATCCCTGTCTGCCATTTATGACTCTACCAGCAGGCAAACCCCACCTGAACAGCGCAGCCTTTCCCCACCTTTGTGCCTCTCACCTTTTAGGAATGCTAGAAGTAGCAGCAGGAAGAAAGGAGCCCGGATGGCTGGGGTCATGGTGGTGCTGAACAGGCAGGAAGGGTGCAGAAACAGACTAAAGGCAGGCGCTGCGTGTGCGCGGGTGGCGCGGCTCTGGTGCCTGCTGCCTTATACTAGTCCCTCTCCCGCCGGAGGCACAGTCAGAGCAGGTGATAGGTAACTAAACTCCACCCCCTCCCCTATTCTTTCTTCCTCCTCCTCCCCAACCACCCCGTGTAGGGTACTTGGGCTCCAATCACTCAACCTTATGACAACCTGGTTATTCTCCATTGGCCTCCCCCTTTTACCGAGTACTCCTTGACTTCCCCAGTGTGTATGTGGAGAAAACCTGGGGCCCCCTGGCTCTGGCTTTAGCCCCAGAGAAACACCGAAGGTGAGGAAAGGGAACACAGGAAGGCCCTTAACAACAAGACCAGGGAAACCCATCCCTGAGTGCCCGAGCCTTTTTCTTACTCTCCGCGGGTCCTTGAAAACCACTTCCCATGGGTTGAGAGGACATAAAGAGGCTGGATAACAGTGGACAGGTCGCTAGTTTTCATCTCCCTCCCCCCACCACTTCCCGGAATAGCCCTACCCTTCTAACCGCTCCCAGTACTCTGAAAACCACAGTCTCCGCCCCTGCCAGACTTTCCAGTAGCCTGGGTCTCTCTTTGGCTTTCTCCCGAGAAAGGCAGTGGGGGAAATTTCCACTTAAAAAGGACGAAACTTGGACTCCACTGAAGCCTAAGGTCCTTCCTACCCAACCCTCCACCTTGAGTGGCAGGCTAGCCGGTCCTCCTGCCCGGGAACGCCTGCCCTCTAGTGGTCACCATGACAGTCGCCCAGCCGACAACATCGATAGTGACAGACTGAGACCCTATGGGGAGATTTGGCAGCACAGCCCACGTTGAGAAAAATATCTTGGTTGTGCCTTGGTAAAAACAATCAATGACTTGGACAAACAGTAATGCACAGGGCTGGGGAGAAGCAATGATCAGTCCTTGGGCTACTCCAACCTCTCCGGATGGTGTTTGGGGGGAATGATGTTAAGTGGGTGGAGCCCCAAGGTGTGTGGAAGGGGTTATCAGGTTCTGTGATGAGGACATCGGGATGTGAAGAGGGCAATGGGACAGATTATGTTCAGGTAACTAGGTATTTAGGAAACAGAGTAAGTACGTGGGGCGATCATGGAATTTGGGAGCACAGAGCTGTGTTTGGAAGAGGAACGCTATTTGGGGCGGGCAGGAACGTGGGCAAACCCATGTGTGTGTGTTTAGGGAGAACTGAGAGGTATTCTGAAGGGCAAAAATAGTTTTGGGTTCACTGAGGACAACAGTCCGGATCCCGCGAGCACAGGCTGCGGTGTAAGCCAGCAGGAGCAGTTACAGCTGTAGTAGGTAAATAGTTCCGAGTCCCAACAAATACAAGACGGAAGCTGAAACTTCAGAAACATTTCAGAGGTGCACGAACGGAGGCATGGGACCCTCGCTCCCGCCGCGTGTAGCGCCTCTGAGCGGCTTTGTCAGGCCAGCTCTGGGCAGAGTGGGGACGCCCCACGTCAGCTCGCCCACAAGTATTTCAAAGTGGGCGGTCCCAAACCCCAACTCCCAGGATTGCCAGGCAACAGCCATTCAATTCGGTTGCTGGGACACCCGTCACCATGGCAATGGCTCCGCGCCTCTCAGTCTGAGTATTTAAAGAGCAAGCGCGCGCAGTGCTTCGGCATCGGAAACAGGCCTTCCTGGGCACTCGAGGCTCCCCTCCTCTCCTCACTCGTCCACTCTTCCGGGCTACCAGGCTCTGGAGTACCTCTAAGGTGATCCCAGTTCCCCAGAATGCCCCCAGTCCCCGGGCTCCACTGACCCAGGTGGTAGGGAGCGGTTTTCCGGGGCCCCGGGTGGGCGGGAGGGATGGGACGCGGTGCAGTGTTGTTCTTTCCCCCGCCAATATTGCACTCGTCCCGGCCTCCGGCCCCCTCGGCCCCCCCGGTGCCCCTTCACCCAGAGCGGGCTTTCGATCTCTGCCCAGCTTAGACTGAAGTATCGCTGCTGCCACGGTGAGTAAGTGGGGCTGGGAGGACACAAGCCATCCTCCAACCTCATCCTTCATTTGGTACTTTTCCCACCCAGATCCCAACTCAGGCAAACTTTCCCTAGCTCTCTAACCTGCACCTACCAGCCTTTCTTATCCCTCGGGTTCCTTTCTGTCCTGGAAAGGGCCTAAAATAAGTAATTGCATTGACTTAGAAAATAACTGAAACTTTATGGCAATGGGCTATTGTCTTTCCTGGGGTTAGAACCTAAGTAATAACCCTTGAAAGTCCCCCAACCCCTGCACAATGGGTCACTACCCCTCTGGGGCTGAGCTCCTTGGTGGGTGCCAGAGAACCGTCGGTTTGACTGAGGGGCTGTGGGTTAGACCCCAGGGTCTCCAGAATGGAGCCCAAGGTCAAAGGGTCTCCAATCAGGATTCTGAATCCGTGGCCGCCTCCTCACACCCTTCCCTGGAGCAGTTGCCTCCGGAATGGCTCAAAGTCCTCAGGCACTGTGTCTAAAGAGGGAAATAAGTCAGGGTCAGAGGATGTGGTTTTCCTAGGGCACAGGTCAAGTTGATCTCGGCCTAGGGCCTCACCGTTGCATCGATATTGGAGATTGGACCAAATGATGTTTTCTTGGGAGAAGCAGAATACACCGAGTCGCCCCCCTCGCATGGACGTGTCAATAATCACCCCAGAATCCGCCACTAGCTGAGGACCCTCATAGAGCTTCACTCTGTCCAGGATAGAAATATCATTGGTGCTAAGGTGCCAGTGGGCACTGTGCCACCAAGTCCTGGGGTCTTGTGCAACTCCCCTCCCCTTGTGCTCACTAGTCCTGAGGGAAGACTGGAAAGGGGAGGGAGGGGTGCTTTTTCTCAGGCCTTGGGCCCCTAGCTCTTTGTCCAGCTCCTTTTGCATCTCAAAGCACCAGCACATTCCTAGCAAGGATTGGGTTGCTATGACAATGAGCACAAAGGGTTGGGGGTGAAGTCACCCGCTTCCCAGGCTCTTGTCTACCACCACCCCTTTATCCTCTGCCCTGGCGCCCCACTGCTCTAGGTACCTTAAAGGGGAAACAACTCAGGCCTCTGGATTCTAGGCCTTTGGTCACAGGAAGTTTCGCTTCTAAGCAGACCCTTTCCCTTCCTTTCTGCAGTCATTCTCACCAACTGGGGACATTTGGAGGGAAAAGTCAAGCTGAAAGGCCTATAAGCTATGGGCCTTGGTTTTCTCTTCTGTAAATCATGGTTCCTTTCCAAAGTCAGATGCTGCTGGAACAAGATCTGACACTGAAGAGGTAGGAAGTGAAGGGCTCTTCCACAGGCTGCCAGGGCCTAGAGGCTCCCAGAGACCTAAAGGGCCTTGAGCTCAACACCTTGGATTTAGAGGTGTGAAGGAAAGCTGTGCCTGGTACCACCTCCTCTGTGCTGAGAAGGGAAATGGAAAGAGCTAGCTGCAAGCTCTACCCAAGACACCAAGAACCTGAGCAGAGGGAAAGTCAGTCACACTTCCCTGCCAGCAAGAGGGCATAGGGGGTTAAGTCTTGCCCCTGCCCCTCCCTTTCCTTACCGAATGTAGCCAACCTGGGGCCGGTGCAGCAGCTGCCATCTATAGGACGTCTTGTCACGCCAACCCACATTTCGTGGGTCAGTCCACAGCAGTCGTACCTGATCAGGGGTGTGGCCAGTATGCCACAGAGCATTCCGGAGGTGCTCGCCTGGGCCCGATAGTGATGTCACAGCCTAGGAGTCATTGACAAGGACATTGTGTTAACTGCAAGGGCAGGGTGTAGGGAGACAGAAGATGGTAAGAACCCGTGAGAAAGGAAGTCAAGGGATCAGAAGAATTCTCTGGAATGCTGCTTAGGCAATCTCCAGACTGGATGTCTAGGTAAGGAAGCTCCTAGGTAGTGGGGCCCCTGAAATTTGGGCAGGAACTGCTTTGGGAAAGTTGCTGGGCTGGGGAGAGTGGGCAGCTGGGATACCTTGAGCTGCAGCCCTGGTTGGGCCACTGCTCGGAAAGGTGTGGCCTGCCAGTAGGTCTGCTCTGTCTGTTTCCACATGACCACATAGAAGCGGCCACTGTCCTGGTAACTGAAGAGGAAGCCTGCGTAGTCATCATCAGTGACTGTGTTCACGTGAAAAGTGCCTTCA